TAGTTGTTGTGGAAGAGGCCGTAATAGAAGTAGTTGTTGTGGAAGAGACCGTAATAGAAGTAGTTGTTGTGGAAGTAGTTGCAGTAGAGGTAGTAGTTGTAGTTGAAGTTGTAGTTGTTACACAAGTATCAGATGAACTTTTTACAGTAAATGTAACACAATATTGGATAGATTGTAAATTTTCACTAATTAACAAAAAGAAAGATATTATTACCCTAGTTTCAACTTTGTTCATTCCTGAAGAAACCTGCGAAGGATCTTTCAGGATCCTGAATCCAATGGATTTTGTATAGTTTTATTCAGGATCCTATCTAGAGTTCTGGTAATTTCTGTTCGCAGGATCTCTGACCGTTAAACAGGTTCATGTTCAGGGTTTGTTCAAGTTCCTGCCAAGATTTTTTTCTAGAGCAATAATGATGAATTTTACTAGGAAAATCTTTCAATTCTACCTAGAGTTGTCACAGAAATATCAAACAGGACGCTATCAAAGTTTTATCAAGTTTTAGCCAGTATCTGCCCTCAATCTCGAGACTAGGATCCGATCATCGATAGTAGCTAAAGCACAGATGGGTCTTAACAAGAATAGGAAATCTAAAGTTCGGATATGGATTCAGATAAGATAAACCCACGCCCAACATCCATACATATCCTTTCCACATCTTTAACGTTTTCTGGCTGCACTATTTTGTAGGATTTAGTGCTCTCTAAACTGATTTTCGATTCAAAGTCGAATGGTAAACTACTCAGGATCTTGATAAAATCATATTTCTAGGCTTCGCACTTTTTTCAAGATTTAATTGTTTCTTCAGGAAGAAAGTGCAAATTCTTGAAGGCTTCATATTAGATCTATTAAAGATTTGGAACAGAAACATCAAGAATTTCCTCTAGGTAACAATCATGAAAACCTAGTCAAGAAAAATTATACCTCGTATATGCAACTGTACATAATTGCTGTACTCCAATTTGATTTGCCTGTGGTGTCCAAGTGAACATGACATAATAGATTGATGAGTTTGTTGATGAATGTGTAAGATTACCATAAGTCACACCACTAATTCCACTGGAAACAATGATAGCAATAAGTGTAGCCACACTCTGATCACATAAGTTTATTGCAGATAGATTAAAGCTGATTGTAACACCAGCTTGTACTTCTAGACAACGATCTAGAGGAATAATCACAGGTTCGATTGAACAAGCTGGTTGTGGTTGAACATAAATCAAAAATTGAACTGGTACAGAACTCATTGGTGTCATACTTGTTTCATTGATAAAATCTTCAACCTATAAAAAAAGATATCATCATTCTATACTAAACATATGTATTAGGTTATGTCATAAATAAACTGACATGTTATATTTTTGATATTCATAACATTATTTTTTTGCGAGACTAGTGCCTTATGTATAAAGTTACGAATTATCTATGTCGACAAAAAATGATTGATCTGATACGGTTGATGATGAATGGTTTTCTAACTAATAAAAGGGCACAACAAGCTCGTAACACTACTATTATCTAGCCAAATATAGAAATATACTAATATTAGTCTTGATTGCTCAGTACAGGTTGTTTCCGAAGCTCGGAGGTATCGATAAATTTGAATATCTCTACTATTTATCGAGCTTAATCGAATGATTTTTTTCAAGTAATAGGTACTGATATGAAGTTTTTTTTTTGATACGGACAAGGTTCACAAGTACTGTTTAAAGTTATTTGTTTCGGCTGATTACACAAAAAGCATCGATTTTTCGGTTTTCAAAAAATCGCTAGACATTGTTTCTCGTTTATTGCTTTAGTTTTTGGCATCTCGTACGATATTTAGATAGATCGGATCCTTGGCTATCATTTTTCTGCATTTATTTTGATATGTTACTACACAAAGAAGCATAATGGTTTCAAGTTCGGTATTCACGAAACTCATGAAATCTTTATGTGTTTACGAACGATGACTCGTGAACTGGAAAAAGTGAACCGATCCTTTGAGTTTCTTGATTGCCGGACGTGACACTATTATGCTTCTTTGTGTAGTAACATATCAAAATAAATGCAGAAAAATGATAGTGAAGGATCCGATCTATCTAAATATCGTATGAGATGCCAAAAACTAAAGCAATAAACAAGAAACAATGTCTAGCGATTTTTCGAAAACCGAAAAATGGATGCTCTTTGTGTATCAGCCGAAACAAATAACTTTAAACAGTATTTGTGAACCTTGTCCGTATCAAAAAAAAACTTCATACCAGTACCTATCACTTGTAAAAAAGCATTCGATTAAGCTCGATAAATAATAGAGATATTCAAATTTACTTTTCTTCCGGACTTTTGGAACACCCTGTAATATTAATAATGTCATGAACGTGGTTGAACGTTTAGTAATGAGTGAATAAAAATCTACTTGCCTGAATAGCAACTGCATACCAGACACCAGCTTTAGGACCTGTGAACGTGATACTACAGTTGGACAAAGTTGTATCATTAGGAACACCACGTGGGTAACAAATATTAGCACATTCGTCAATTGCTTGTCGAATGGGAAATGATGAAGTCGATTTCGGTGTTCCTGGAGTTTCGGTAGTAGTGTGTCCAGTTGTTGTGGCCGTACAACCGCCAAAAACATCCAATATAGGACAGTTTGTACTGCCGCAGTTGGTTCCTACACACGTAGTACCACTGCAAGGACAATTGTATGCACACAGGGTATCACAGGGATTGCTCCACAAAAATCTTTTCCATCTAATCTGAATATCGTTTGAAAGTTCAACTAATCTCTTGTAGTTCTCATCAGTATATTTGAGAGCTGCAGGATCTTTGTTGTTGTATCGTTTTCGTCTTCGATATCCACTTGTATACTTTGACCATCGACACCGTACATCATCACCAGCATTCGCATCTGACACAGGAATCTTTATTTGTATTGTTTTATTCACAATGGTATATTGTGGAGAAACAACCTTGGCAACAGGTGGAGTATTAATGAAACCATCTGGTCGTTTACGAAGATCAGTGTATGTTACAATAGACCAATCAAGGCCTGGTTGTGCAGGATCATTTAATGATAACCAAGCATTTCCTCTATAAGATAGATAAAAATGCGCATCAGCAGAAAGAGTAATATTTTTCGATCGTTCAGTAGTCATCATTTTCAATGATGAACTAGTTGATGTACAATCAGTAAGAATATCAATTGGTTTAGTAGAATAACCACCATCAGTCGAACAGTCAGCCATACAAATCAGGTTAGTGTTGGCACCACTAAATGTACTAGTCGAGATTGGTACATTGGTGGAACATTGTACATATGGATATGTCCATGAATAAGACTGTGTAATAATAATATCAACAGAAGTAGAATTATCATAAGGATCAATGGGAGTCCATCCTATCGTTCCTCCATTGAAGTGCCTTGCATCAGTAAAAACAATAGAACAACACAATATGAATACATACAAGTACATTGTTTGCCACTACTTAATTCGATGAACCAAAATCTAGAAAAGCGAATGCCTGGAAGACTATCGTATAGTGAAAAACAACTCTGAATAGCAAATCAAAATATTTCATGAATTTTTTTTTTGTTAAGTAGAGTGTGCATTGAAAAACAATTTCTTTCAACAAGATATTTTCTCAACAAGTAAAAACTAAGGATCAGCTGTTTTATGAAGTTTGAACTGAGAGGAACCTTTTTACTTGGGAGAGAAAGCTATTGTTTATATTGGCGACACTTTTGAGTATTAATATGTATTACTTCTTGTATATACGATTGTTATCAGAGAAAATATTTATGGGCTTCAAAAAATCAAAAAAAATTTCTTGAGTTTCGTGAAGTTTTGTCATAATCACAAAAACAAGATGTCATGTCGAGGAATGGAACGAATACAGAAGATTGATATGTATCATATTTAGTAATTTGCAGGGATATTTTAATGCAGCATATGCGACGATTTTTGTTTTTAACTAAAGTCATGGAATTAAACTAGTGCAAATATTCGTTTCAATCAATGTATTTAAAAAAAACAGCAATGCTCACATTTTTTTGATCATTTGAATGGAATCCCTTATGATTTTTTTTAATTCAAAAAACCGGGTATTTTCGCAATTCTAGTCTTTTGATATGGCACTATGTGGATCAGAGATCTGCCAATCCCCGAGTTATATCTTATCGTCATCATACGATGCACTTCTTTCTGAGTTTGCTTATTTAAAATTCGCGGTGAGCACTGTCACCATCATCAGATAAAAATAACAATAAATCAAAATATAACAAACCATATATAACGCGTGGGGACACAGTCAATGGCCGCATTTTACATTTCATTTTTTCGTCATTTATTCGTTTACTTACAAAAAAACAAAATATACTACAACATTTAGCGTAAAATCTCTACAATTTACAATAATACCATATTTCGATAAACGATCAATTCGCTTTTTTATCTGACCGATTAAAGACAATTCTATTCACTGGCAAAAATGTTTCCATATAGCATCCGCCTATAGTTCAAGAAGAACAAGATGATATAAACAAAACGACCAAGTATCTAAAAAGAATTATTGGGTGATAAGATGCCTATAAAGTCGCCTACGTTTCCAATTATTTTATAACCTGATGAAAGTCATATTGAAGTTCTTGTTCTAGATGCAAAATCTGGAGGTAAACAGCTGCTGGACTACGATTTTATCTCCCAATAAGACAATACTACATGACATTAAACATAAGAAATCGTTAGGATAGTGCGAATAAAATTTTATGCTATGCAGTGACAACCGATGATGACTACCTAATAGTCTTGAACAAAATGTTTTGGATTGTTACGAAAGGGGCACTATCGTCGACAATATGCAATGGTATAAAGTTTAAAACTAAGATTCATTAATTGATAAAACAAAAAAAATTGTCGTGTATCAGTGAATGATCTTCCTTGAAGTGTTAAAAAGTGATCGCACAGAAATCTGCTCATTTTAAAAAAGAAAAGCGCATATGTAAAATAGGCTGTTTCTTGTAAATTATAGAGCTTTTCACGCTGCATCTGGTGGTACATTTTATTTTTTTTAATTACACGAATTAAATGATAGAAAAATCAAAATACCAAACGCAGCTATTCATTATGCTCCACTCCGTTCTATATATAGCTCCAACTAAGTTTTTATGTATTTTCTTTCTTCGTTCAACTATATCATCTTGTTAAATACGTAATTCCCTTCGTTTAGAAATATTTGTTGGAGGTTTTTAACAAACTAGACACGCTAATTTCAATTCTAATGTCCACGAAAACTCTTCAAATGCGTTGATTGACTCAGTTCATCGTAATCAAAGTTTTTGATAACAGAGGAACAAACCCTTTTTGAATTGTATCAATCACTTTGGATTTGTCAGATGTGTCAAATAAACATTTATAAAGGAAGGAAGATAGGTCGGAATAATAGGAAGACCATAATCATGAAACAAAATAAAATAAATTCAAGCAAAATAGCCTTATATATTCTGTTATTGCACCTCAAACAAAGGACTTTTATAGTGAATTGAATCTAAAGAAATTACTTGGTAAGAGTATTTAAAAAACTCATATTATTGAATAAAAACTTTGAACTGTTCTCTACCACCAGTACAAAACCTAGTTCATCCAAAAAAAAACTCTTAGGGAGATACAGTTTTCTTTTTAATCAATGACTTTTTGCACATCTGAAACTTAATTTGCTGTTATGAAATAAAAGAAATAGTAATTTAACATGAGGTTGGAAAAATCCATGAAAAGATATTTGTTGGCGAGGCAGTGGTGAAGCCACATTTTGACTGTTTTATGGGTCTATGAGGGTGGACTAGAACTAAACTTATCAATGTGAAAGAACTATGTACTTTTCAATTTTCTTTATCAAATAAGCATTTCAAAAAAAAAATAAATAAAATTCAATATAAGTGTCAGTACCAAACCAAATAACAGATAGCCCATAAAGAACGCGCATCTCGGTGTTTTGCATATATTTTCATTGTTGTACAACGTGAAGAAGCAAATTATTTTTTTTTTAAATGCACTTTTTAATGCTCTACTATCTTGCATATTTCAACCGACTCTATTAGAATTTACTATTTGCGATTGATCAAAAAGTAGATATATCTAAACTCAGCAGCTCTCAAGAAAAAAAACTTTTTGTCAATTTGTGTTCTACGCGCTTTTCCTCTGGAGTAAGTATGTTATTTCTATCTTCCAATTGGTTTGAACCAACTATCGATAAAAAAATAACACTAATGAATTTATTTTAAAGTTTGAAAGTTGATGTATTCGTCTGTGAATAAGCATTATTGTTAATATACAACAATTGTATGTTAAAACTATTGCTATTCATATGTGACACTGTGGGTGTTGTTGTATTCTAATTTCGGTAAATCTTAATAAACTTAAGCAAATATATATATATATGATGGCTGTGAAGTTCATACATTACAGAAAATATGTTTACACACTGAACATTTGTCGATCATATTTCGAAACTATTGAAAGCTTTCATAAACGTATGAATAGCAGTAGTAATAGTATTAGTATACATTTTCGTATATTAACAATAATGTATAATCACAAACAAATAAATCAACTTTGAAACTTTTAAATAACTTCATTAGTGATATGTTTTTTATTGTTGGTTGGTTCAAACTAAGTGTGAGACTGAAGAAAACTTACAAAAGAAATAAATTACCTAGAACAAAAACTGATGAAAAAGCTTTTTTCTTGGTTTGGTAGTTCTCGATTTTAGACATATCTGTTTCATCGTTATGGCCAAGCTAGCGTTTCCTAACCAAGTTAGTTGAAATATTTAAGACTCTAGAACATTATAATGTGCTTCTTCATGTTGTACAAAAATGAAAATACATGCAAAACATCGCAAGGCTCATTATTTATGGGTCAATCGTCTGTACATGGATGACATAAATTATCATACCTGAAGACCCAATTCTTATCGGAATAGTATCAATCGTTTCTGAACACTGTTGTTGCTTACTGAGATGTTTGTAATCTACAGCATTATGAAAGATGACTTATGTTATTTTGTCTTGCTTTACCAAAGACTCTGACGAAAGTAAGAAAAAAAGTTTTTTTGAAATAAAGAATTAAATAGAGTTTGCAAACATCTGCATGTGATAGTATTCGAAACCGTACCAGTGATGATTACTTTTCAGAGTATTTTCTATTTAATTAATATTCAACCGCCCAGAGATTTTTTATCGATAGACACTAACAATGAGTAGATGTGTATTATTCAAAAAAATTATTGTAAACAAAAAGCGAATGCAGTTTTACTAGGTCATGATATGAAATTCAAGGTATATGTTCATTATAATAAAAACACATTGAAATTAATAAAAGAAACTTATTCTATAGCATATTATTTTAATTTACCTATGAATGTAAGATTTATATTTGAATAGATTTATTGAATACTATTCGATATCTACTGATATACTGTTTATGAAAGGCAATATTAACAAAAGTCAGTTCTCATTGAATCTGACATTAGTCCTATAACTTACTAAATATGAATTGAAAATTTACTAAAAGAAATTTAAGAATTTTTCAATACGTTCTCTAAGAAGATTTCAATGTTGTTATGATATATCAAATAATAGTCTTTGACATGTTTTGTATATGAGTGTAATTTATTTATGACAAAATCATAATAATAGTTGTCTCACAAATGATACTACTAGTCTTGAAATTCTCAAATTTCATAATATGTGTTCGTGTGAATTTCGTGTCTATCGATATCTTCTCATAATAATTGCTTTTTCAATATGTTCATAATGTCATCTCAGGTTTTTTTTTCATTCGTTATTGATCAGGTAGATTGATTAATATAAATTTGGTGTATTTTTTCCTATTCTTCGACGATTTGTTTATTGTCAAAGTTCGTTTTCTTATTAGAAATTCTCTCAGACATCATCAACAAATAAAAACATATATTTATGATGTCAACAAAGAAAGAGAAAAAAAAATATGCCTTGATTAAAACTTCTCTATATTTAAGAGACAAACTTTGATTCACAGAGAAGATTGTAAATATCTTTTGTATGCATAGTATAATTGAATTTTTTTCCTATGATAATTTCTTTTCCAAATCGATGATGAAATCATGAAATGAATAAATTTTTTTTCTGATTAAGCATACAGCATGACACAATTACAAAGGAGTCTTATGAAAAGCTGAATATTATTCTGATTCAATGTTTTTCTTTCTC